GTGCTGTCCTGCCGGCCTTCGCTCGGGGGACCTGCAGAGCCGACAGAAACCCGAAGTGGCTCGAGCAGGTGCTCGATGCCCTTCCAAGCGACCGTTTGCCAAGGCAGAAGCTGCTGCTGCAGTAAGCAGGCTGCTAGCGCGGTTGTCTTTTCTGGTGCGCTGTCCCAGCTGATTGTCCCGGGGATATATTTTCTGGATAGTGAAATGTCACTTGTCTTGGTCTGTGGCTGCCGAGATGTTCTCTATGCGTCCAGCTGCTTTTGCCCAAATACGTTAGTAAAATAATTCCTTGCTTGTCTCCAGCATCTTCCACCTGTGATCTCTGGGTGCTTCACATGGGGAAGTGAGTTAGTACTTACTCTTGACCGCAGTCCTGAGTTGCAGGAGGTGTCCGAATCGCTGCCTTTCGCTCCGGTCCCCGATGTACTTCCAGAGTACGAGGAGAGTACTGCCTGCCTGCGAGGGTAGGTGACGGCCCTTGCCCCCGTTGCGGTCACTCTCCCTCCTTCATCTTTAGCCTCGTGCTGCCTGGCTACGCGTCTTAACCTGTTGTATTGCCCACGATCCCTAGCACCGTCTCTGCCATTTCAGCACTGTGTTGCTCGCTGCTCCTCTGCAACCGCTGCACGACTTCCTCGTGTTAGTGCAGGGCAGGAGCCTCGATATCACTGCAGCCGGCTCAGGGGAGGCTTTGCCTCTGTGCAGCTTCAGCCAAAAATTAAACAGGCTGTTTGGCTGTATAAGAGCTAGGACAGTGAGCAGCAGAGAAGAAATCCCAGTCAGTGCCTTTGCATCACTCAGCAGCACGGTCTTGTCTGAGCATCGTGAGCGTTACTGGGCAGCCTGCTTTGAACAGAGCTGTGCAGGGCGCGGGGCGATGGGCAGAGCTGAGCGCTGCGCCTTGGCGGAGGCCTGGAGATACGCTCTGTGCATGCGGCGATGTTGGAAAGCATGGGGCTGTTACTGCAGAAAGAGGATTGAGCAAGGACAATATGATTTAATACAATGATTGGTTTGGAAAAGCCATAAAACTGATAGTCTGTTCTGGAGCAAGGTGGAGGAGGCCATTCCTGAAAATGCCCTCTCCCAGAGTGATTCACTCGTTTCTCATAGCACAGCTGTTTCTGTAAACATGAACAGGTACGCATTTATTTATAGATGATAGATGAGCAGCCGAGCAGCAAGGCGCCTGATCAATACCGAACGGGGCTGCCTCCTGGGGTGCGCTCCTCCGGGATGCTCTCCCGGCCGGAGACGCAGCTGCGTCGGTGCCCTGGCAAGGCACGGAGAGACTGCGGTGCAGAGGGGGGGCGACTCGGTGGGCGATGTCAGTTTTGCCAGTCCGAAGTATTGAAAGCTGCGACGTGGGCTGCAGGGCTGACTCGCAGCAAAAAGAGGCAGGGACGGAGCAGCAAAACAACAGGCTGTAAAAGGAAGTAGTTATTTGCAGGGCAGGTGGCGAAGCCGTGGAGCTGCCGGCCGCAGGCGCCCGTGAAAGGCAGAGCAGGGCTGCTGCTGGCAGAGTTAGGGCAGGGGCGTTTAAGCTCACGTGTCAGGCGTTAGTGAAATCGTAACTGGGACTAATGGTAGTGTGGGGGCACATAATTCCTGGCTTGTTACTCGGGGTTTTTTTTATCTTCTGCTTTCTGATTAGTCCTGCCACTCGCTGGTGATGAAAACCGTGCAGGGTGGACTTTGAATTGCCATTTCTAGGGACCAACTGTTGTTCCGCCATAAGTTATCATCTCCATTACATAAGGCAAGCGTGGCGCACGTTATCCATCATGAGCCCCGTGAGACGTCCAGCCTTGGTGTCTGCAGCGAGCACTGCTCTGGTCGGGTAGGAGCGTGGCCAGCTGTGGCCATAACGCGCTCCAGCTGGAAAAGGTGGGTCCGGCGTGCTTAACTCTTGGCTAAGCAGGAACTAGAGAGCCTTGAGCTGCCTGCCCCCCCCCAAACACCAACCTTTTTTGACAGCTTTTCAGCACTTCCTAACCCTGCACACAGCCCGGTTCGTAAACCCCCTGCACGCTTAACAGGGAGGTGCCGGTGGTGCTTCGGGCCACCCGCTGCAGCAGGAGCGATGCTCACCTGCGGCACGGTCATCTGGATCTCCGAAGCCTCACAGCAGAAAGCGGACGCAGGTGCCGGGCTTTCCTGAGCGCAGAAGAGACTGAAATTAATCCCGGGCATGAGCTGTCTTCATGCTGCACACCGTGCACGTGGGCAAAAGACCAGAAGGAGAGGAGGAAGAGGTGCTTGCGGTACCCCACTCAGTCAGGGTTTTGATCCCAGGACAGCTTTTCTTCTTTTTCTTTTTTTTTAGTCTAATGACGACTCACTTTGAAACACACACGAAATCCTGGAGGCTGGTCCACCATCCCAATTTTTACCTGTCATTCCCAAAAGAGCGCCCCAACGCAGGGCCAGGGCGACTGCACACCTCCTCCGGCTGCCGGCCCGTCTGGAGTGGCAGCTCTTCGGGAGCGGGAAGCGGGAGCCCTCGCGACGTGCCGTTGGCAGGGCAGTCCGGGGGCTGCTCCTGGGCGCGGGGTCCGGCCTCCCCCAGCTCCGCGTCGCTGCCGCCTCCGCGGGACAGCTGGGTCACCCTCAGCTGGGTGAGGAGGTGCCTCCACTGTGAGGCCGGGCTTCAACCCCAAATATCTCATGTTTTAAGACTTTTATGTCTTGGTTTAATGTTTATGCAGCTCACAGTCAGCATACAGAAGTCTCCCTGTAACGCTGCCAAAGGCAGTCGGGACCCCCGGAGCTTTCCGGGGTAAGCCATATGCAGTGACCCTGGGCTGAAGCAATTAACATATTATCATTGCCATTTTAATGATGTGGTATTTATTACGCATCTTTATAGGGCTCCCTAGCTGTGGTATCTGTACCCCAAATAAGACCACACTTTATAGCCCGGTGAGAAATTGCTAATATTGCCGTGAATCCAGCATTGCTGACACTGGGTAGCAATCTCAGCTGTTGTAAAGTGGTTTTGTTTCCTTTTTATAGAGCTATTACTTTTCAGTGGGTAGAAGTCTTGCCAGTGGCATTTACTGAGCTAGACTGCTTGTAGTGAAGAATTTTTTAGCTGTTTTCTGTTGAAATGTCTTCCAGTCTGAAATTCCAGGTCTTTTCATTGCTTCTACCTCCATTTCAGTTAAAATGGACTGGAATTTTTGAAATGAGGCAAGGTGAAGGAAAAATGCAATAGCAATATATTCTTTGAGTAGATATAATGCTTTTAAAAACCTATGTGAAAGAAAGCTAATATTTTATATGGGTGTTAGCAGTGAAACAAAGAGGTGGCAGTTAGTGCTTCGGAGGAAATGAATTCTCATTTTGCATGGTAGTAGGGATTAGAAAAATAAGGTTTTGTATTTGTATATTTGTTTATAAATGGCAGGCTACTATGTCAGGGTCCCATAAATTCTGCCATAGTCTAGGTCTTATCTCTGCAGAGCAATTTACCTTGGCTTCATTTCCCTTCTCCTTCAGTCACTTACTGATCCTTGCCCCCACAAAATTACCTGAAAGCCGGCTGCACAGCGCCATGTGCATATTAGAAACGAAGCACAGGCCCTTGTTTCCCAAATGTGTCGTGAGAAGGTGATGCACGTCCCTGCGTTTCACTGTACTAAGCGCTTAAACTGGCGATGACTCTTCTCACTCAGAATCCTGAAACAGACCCTAAAATTCATAGCCCACATAAATATCTGCCTCAGAGCGGTTTTGGGGAGACCTTTTCTGCAGTGATTCACTCACCTTTCTTAAACCGTGGCTGTTTCTGTAAACGCACACAAGCTTGCATTTGTTATATGTGATGGGTGAGCAGCCAAGCAAGACTGGTCAGGACTGGAGCAGGCCACTCCAGGTCCCATGCTCAGGTGCCTGGACATCTCTCGATGGCGGAACGGCCTCTGCTGGAGACACTGCCGAGCCCAGCGCCGCAGCGAGGCGCGAGCGTGGCCGAGGTGCGGGGCGGAGAGGGGGATCAGTAGGGCGTCGCGTGCTTCTCCTCTGGGTCAGAGCTCGTCGTGGCGTCCCCGGTGCTGGGCTGGGAGAACCGCCGCTGCGGGATGTGCTGCTGGAGGGCAGCCTGGTCTTCCAGGGCCCTGGCAGATGCCAGCGCATGCTTTGCAGGAGTTGTAAACTTAACCTTGCTTTCTCCTTTGAGGACTGTCTGCATAGGAAGAGGCTGTTCCTGATTCGTGAATGCTCACTTCTTTAGCGCCCCAGGATCACTGGAGCAATATGGTTCATCTTTAGTCTGGAATCCCTGGCACGGTGTCAGTTTTCTGTACAAAGCCTTTTGCTCATTGAATATTGCAGACGCCGTGATGTCTGCCCTCCTCGGTGCGAGCCATCACCTTCTCAGACTTGTGTTTGGAGTTCCCATAGTTGTTAAATTACCCTTGTACCTGTTGGGAAAATGTTCCCTGTGTCATTTGTGTCTGCGGACAATTTTGGGTCTCACACTGGCTGCTTTAGTGTTTTGGGTGTTACTGAAGTTTTTTTGTTGCCCATATCAATTTTCCCCTCCTTAAAATAGATTCAGTGTACTTAACAGGCTCTGAGTAATACAGTACCCTTCCCTGACTTGATAAAGTCATTTAAAATATTTGCTGCTGGTCCAGTGCTGTCACATGTCAGCTCTTTTAGAAATCTGAGATGAAGATTATCCAGTGTCCTGTCTGAATACAATAAGCGCTCTAAGGTTTGCTTGCACTTTGTATGAGTTGATTTCCATAGCTTCACCTCCGTTAGCCATTCAACTTTTGTATTACATTCTTATCATAAACCAAGGCAAAGTATTAATTTAATTTTTAGACTATCTTTACACTATTCTCAACACATAGCACCTCACTTCTTTTGTCTGTGCTCTTTTTCCCTGTATGGCTGAAGAGCTTTTCCTTATTTGCTTTAATTTCCTTTCCAAGGTTTACCTCAGATTGACTTTTTGTGGTTACAGACCCAGTCTTTTCACTGTATTCTCATGTAGAAGTCTTTCCAGAAATTTAGTTGCTTATTTCTGAACCCTGCCACTCCTAACTTGTTCTATCTATTGAGAGAAAGGGACCCAAACTCTCTTCCCAGCAGCAAATTATGTACTTGGGCCCATTAAATCACTTAGGCACTCAGACCAGGAGCCGTCGTCTTTCGCGGCATTCTTGAGAGCAAAAACCAACATTGACCCTCTTGAATATGACCCAGGCTAGGCAAAGAGACGAGCGCACCCAGATAAAGCCCTGGAGCTTTGCGGCAGCGTGACGTTGTGCTTGTCACTGCGTGCAGGGGCCGTCAGATTAAGCCAAGCTGCAGTTTGGCCCTCCTGCTTGCTGTGGCTGTGGTGGATCTCCTTGTGAGATGCTGGCCTACGCTGGGAAGCATCCTGAATTTTTCTTGGTGTAATCAGACCCCTTTGCTTTGTGGCATAGATCTGTCTGTGCATTAGATACAACTAAATACATACTTTTTCCTGCAGAACAAAGAATATAGGGTCGCCATGCAGTGAGCGACCTAGTGTTCTGGAGTATATTGCCTGCGAAAAGGACTTTGATGTCATTACACTTAATTCATCCAAAAAAGTTTTATGATAATCACATGGCATAGAGGACCTGCAAAATCTAAGCATGCATTGCAAGGGAATGGCAAGCATGGCAGCATGGCTTCTGCACATAGCAGAACTATAGCCACTGAGACTTGGATGCCTTCCTAAAGGACCTGCCCTCGTTCAGCTATGTGCTAGAGGGCTTGAGCAGAGATGACAGGGTGCAATGCTTTAGCTTGGGAGAGGCAGGAGGTAGCGGGCGTCTGCACTAAAAGCAGATGAAGGATATGTTCACCAGCAGGAGCATGTAGGGACATGGTTTTACCTGGCCTGTGCTATTTTCATAATGTTCTAAAGGGACAATATTCCTTCAAGAGCTTCATGCAAGTGTTAGTTGGGGTGAAATGCCAGAACCCAGGCCCTCTGTGGTGGCATCCTTGCAGCATTGCCCATTGCATGCACAAGGCCAAGGGCAGGATGGGCCTGGCACCTGGGTGCACGGATCATGAAGGTGCAGAGAGGGAGGTTCAGACATATGGGAAATGGGGGGACCTTTTAGGGCAGGAGGCTCTTGGACAAGAGGGACCAGCTGCAGCTGATCCAAACAGAGCCAGGCTGCTGGTTCTGAGAACTAGCAGGTCATGGAGGAGTATTTAAATCAGCATTTGTAGGAAAGCCTGTGGGAGTTTAGATGTGAAATTGTGGAACGTCTGGCCGAGGTGTGAAGCTTGCCATTGCAAACTGCCACTGTGCCAGAGGACCAGGGGTTGCCAACGTGAGGCTCATCCACCAGGAGCGTTGCAGAGGGGATCCAAGAAGCTACAGACACCCTTCGTATGATAGCAGTGTCTGTAATTAATAAAGGATAAGGTCACCAAGCACGCAAATAAGCACAGCCTGTTGGGAAAGAATCAGCATGGCTTTTGCAAAGGGAAGCTTTGCTGACCTGATAGAGCTGTACAAGGCGCTGACAAACCTCTGGATGCGGGGGGTGGGTCCTGGTGGACAAAACGTATCTGGATTTTCCAGAAAGCTTTAGACAAGGTTTCACATCAAGGCTATTAAGGAAACTAAGAATTGGATGAGAGAGTTCTTTATCGCTCGAAAACTTGTTAACAGGAGGAAGCAATGGATGGGATTTAAATGTCACTTTTCAGGATGAAGCATTCAGCACTGGGGTCCCCAGTGTTTGGTAGGACCTGTTTCACTCTCTGTCTTCATCAATGAACTGGAGAAGGAAGTGTGCAGTGAAACCTCCAAGTATAAGAGTGAAACTCTTTCAAGTAGCTAAATGATGCGTCAGTGCTGAGACCGAGTTTATGGGCAAAAGGTGGCAGATGAGCCTCCATGTAGATAAATGCAAAGTAATGCTTCTAGGGAAAAATCATCTGAACCATGCTACACAATGCCAAATATGTGACTGGCAGTTACAGTTCCAGAAAGGTCTTGGAGTCCGGACTGACAGCTCTCAAAATCATGGGCCCGGTGTGCAGCAGTAGTCAGAAAAGCCAGCAAAATGTATCAGCAGCGAGGAGACAGAGAGCAATGCAACAGCATCATTTGGGGCTATGTTGTCCTGTACACACTCACCTTCAGTGCTATGTGCAGGTCTGGTCTCAGTACCTCAGGGAGGGAGCCATTGAGCTAGAGAAGGTCCAGAGAAGGACAGCTCACGTGCTCGTGGGGATGGAGCATCTGCCCTACGAGGAGAGACTGAGAAGGCTGGGACTCTCCATTTTCCAGAGGAGAAGGCTCAGGGAGAGACACAGCCCAGGCTTCCAAAATCACCAAGGCAGTAAATGCAGTGAATGCAGAGCAGGCAGTGAACTTCTGGAGCCTGCTCTCATGAGAGGCTGTGGAGGCGGACAGTACTGGCAGATTCAAAGAGGGATGAGATGCATTCTTGGACAGCAGGTCCGTACACAGATACTAACAGGACTCAGCAGGGTCGTTCCTGCTAACGTCCCCAATACTATGACTCTGGATGCTGGACGTTAACAAGGAGAACAGACCACCCAAAGTGGCCAGGCACATGCGCTCTCCTTAAATAGCATCTCCTAATGC